GAGGGAGTGACTGAGTCTCGGGGAACTTGAGGCCCAGAGAAGCAGCCCTGCAGGGCTGAGTCTCTGCTGACCAGACCTCCTGTGCCCCAGGGAGCAGCGAATGCCAGCTCTAAAGGTGAGTACAGGCATCTTCAGCAAGAACCCAGGGAGTCCTGTGGGGCCCACACCTATACAGCCCCTCATGCCCCACTTTGCTAAGGGGGTCCCTGCAGCTCTGCCTCCAGTTGAGAGCAGGCCTGAGGGGACCCCCGTGGGCATTTTCCAGGGTCTGCAGCAAAGCAGGAAGCTCCCGACCTGTACCTCAAGGTCACCCCTCATTTGGAGGTCACATGTGGCCTAGCTGGTGGTCCTACTAGAGCCCAAGACCTGGAGAGGAGGGGTGAAACACTGGGTGCCCTGCTTTGGGTTTCAGCCCTATGTGCACCCCTGTCCAACCTCCCCCACCCCCGCAGCTGGGCTCCAAGCCGCCTTTGTCTAATCCCCTCCCACCTCAGTTCTATAATCTGCTTCTTCCAGCAGGAAGGAGGTCCTTTCTTTCCTCTGCAGCCCCCACAGGAAGCACCTCAGCTGCTGAGGTGAGGAGGGGCTGGGAGAGGGCTGGGGGTGGAGGCCTGCAAGGAGCCCTCTTGGGTTGGTGTCCACCACTGCCAGGAACATGTGTGTGAGGCACCATGCTGGGTAGCAGGCTCCGACACACCTTTGTTCAGCTTGCACCGACTTAATCTGAGGAAGACAGCTGTGAACACAAATAACGGCACCCCACCCCCATCCAGTGCCCTAACACACAACATCTCTGAGCTCCTGTGTGTGTGTGTGTACAGGACTGCAGCCTGCTGGGTCAGCCTTGGTACTCAGAGAACTGTGACCGTCAAGCTGTTGAGAGTGCCCTGCTCCAATGCCAAAAGGTGCGCCTTCTCAGAAACCCCTCTTGCTCATGGGCTGTGGCTGGCTGAGCAGGCAGGGACAGCAGGGCAGGGGAGCTGGATGGCCATCGAGGTCAGGGCTGCAGGTGGACAGTTGGAAGATGAAGCTGATGGATGGGTCTCCTCCGCAGGATGGAGCTTATACCGTGCGCCCCAGCTCAGGACTTCATGGCTCCCAGCCCTTCACCCTGGCAGTGCTTCTTCACGGCCGGGTTTTCAACATTCCCATCCGGTGGCTAGATGGTGGGCAATACTATGCCCTGGGCCGGGAGAGCAGGAACCACAAGGAGGTGGGTGCTGGCGGAGGTAGGGGACCAAAAGGGCAATAAGGACACAGCAGAGAAGTACCCTGGGCCTAGCCAGGAGTACTTGCCTAGGGAAAAACCCGCATTCTATATTTTTCTGGAGTGGATGGAATGGAAATGGCCAGTGACCCGAATACCTTCCCAGAGGTCCACCTTCCTCTGGGGGCAGCCCTTCCTCCTGCTTGTCTCAGCACAGGGCCCAGGTGGGGGCATTTGTACCTGTAGTGAACCAGCCGAGAGGAGCGCAGGGCTCAAATAGTCCAGACTCTTATCTGTGCCAGGACTCAATTTGTGCCCAGCACTTGCTGGGCTGCAAACTAGAGACATTCACCCATCACTGGGCTCTCATGTTGGAGGGCAGGGTCAGAGGCAGGTCACCAGAGTTATTCCCATCTGGAAATATGATTTGTCCAACAATGTGCCCATGGGTGTAGACACAGGAAAGTTGCACAGGCCTGAAACTGGGTAGCAAAATGGCAGTGGAGCCTGATGAACCAAACAGGAAGGAAAATATTTACAAAAATGTCAACAAACCCCCTTGCCAGAGGTTGGCAGTTCCCGCAGGAAGTTTCTCCCAGCATGAGGCTCCAGGGCCTCACTTATGCCCTGCCTGTCTGTCTAGCGCTTCTCCTCTGTGGCTGCCATGATCCAGCACTACATGCAGCACCCTCTGCCCCTTGTGGACAGACACAGTGGCAGCCGGCAACTCACCTGCTTGCTCTTCCCCACCAAGCCCTGACGCCCCAGCAGATGTCCACACCCACCTCTGTCCCCATCAGTTGCTGCTCCTTGCCCCATCCAGCTGTCCACCTTGGGCTGTATCCCTCTCTCCTCTCCCAGGCCTTCACCCATCCAGGCCCTCCCTATCCCTGTCTCAGTCCCTGCAGGCCCAGATGAGAGGCATTGCAAAAGGTGGCCCGGACAGAAAGGGTCCACGAGGCCCTATGCCATGCTCGCCCAGAGCCTGACCCTGTGCTCTCTGTGGCCTCTCCAAGGCTGAGAGGCAAGGGTCAGGCAGAGCCCTCAGGAATGGCTGTGTCCACCCTGCTACTAGGGCCTTCCAGGCTGCTCTGGATGAAGGCCTCCTAGGGGAACCTGAGCCTCTCGGGGACAGCATGGGCGCTGCTGGGACACAAAGAGAATCCTCTCATATTCTTTTAGGGGCTTCACACAAGGCTGGCATCTGGGAGGGACTTGGCTGCCCTGCATATATTCTGCTTTCAATAAATATGTTTTGAATAAATTCTTGAATTTGCTGAGCGAAGCAGAGGTGGCGTCCGTGAGGCTCCAAGGTTCTCCTGTCCCAGGGCACAGGCTAGGCCTGGGAGTGACAGAGGAGTGGTGGCAGGAGGGAGCAACACGAGGCAGCCCCATTTCGGCACGCAGACGGGGCGCTTGCCCTTAGATGGTCTGTGCTGGGGCGGGGGGAGGCCAGCCCCTGCGTGGCTGCTTTCGTTTTGCTTTGCTTGCGGTGGTGGTCGGAGAGGGGCAGGGAGGGCGGCTCAGGGTTGTCTCTGCCACTCCGTGAGTGATGGGAGTCAAGTTAGGTGCTCGGCCACCGCCCGTTTACGGTGGGTGCCCCCCAGGGAGACAGGTGGACCCCAGGAGAGCCCCGGATCCTGGGCTCACCAGTCCTAGGATTAAAAAGCCTGGCTCCGCGGGGGCGCGCGGACCGCGAGGCCCA